GGGGGACTACGGTTTTTGAGTTGCTGTAATCGGGGTGAATGAAGAAGTTGATTACTTTTATTGATGACATGTTCGATTGAAACACACTATATATTGTTTGGTATACGTCTTGAAGGTTGGAAAACTACAATTTTTCAGGATGGAGATTGCCGTCGATCAATTCTTATCTCTCTGTCCCGTTACTCGGGAGAATGCTGACCAAAGTCTAAGGATGTTTAGATTTTAGAGTTCACCATCGATACTAATCCCACCACTTTCCTAATTTGTGCATCTTCCTGTGTGCTTGAAGTCTCTAGATTGTGTTACATTTAGGCAGATCTCGTTTGATTTTATTCGACCCACCAGGTGTCTTGCACAATGTCAGCTAGATCCCACAGGGGTGCTCTGGTTAATAAGTGTTTTATAATATCTATTTCATTATATAGTCTACCCTTTTTTCCCATTATATAAGATATAGTCTCCTTGCATACCCTTTATGTAAATACATAAATTTTTTAGGGTTTTGAGTTAGAAAATGCAAAGCTTTTAAGCCATTACTAAAATGCACACGTATGTACAACAAATAATCAGTCTTTAAAAGCATTCTTGAGTAAAGAAATTACAAATCATATGTGATTATACTATATTATACTTTTGGCTTCATAACAGAATTATAGATCTTTTTAAGACGAGGGAAATGAGTGGGCTTGCATAAAAGTTAATTTTTCTCGTAATAGCTTTGTAAAAACTTGTTTCTACTTTTCCAGTCCTTTCTTGAGTTTTTTGTTTATTAATCCTGGGTTCCAGAGAGGTGGGGTTGAAGGAGTGGGACTCATTAGCATGTAAACTCTGAAGAGAATAAGGGCCAGTTTGGCTTGGTGTCTACTCTTGCTTTTGCTTTCGCTTCTCGTAGAAGAGCTTATTGAAAAAGCTACTTCAGGTCAGCTTCTAAAAAATTATTCATATATGTTTAAAAGTAGCTTCTTAGTCTCAGTAGCACCTTTTGACTTTTCAAAAGCTTTGCCAAGTGTACCTTTATTCTCTCTAAAACTTCTTGTTGCCGTAATTAGTTGAACTGTGAAAAATGACTTTAGCCACAACGCATCGTCTATGATGTCTCTAGTGATTCATTCCTTCTTTCTTGAACAAGTGATTGTCAACAAAGTTGATAAAGAAACGTGCAATTATATGATCCAAAACAACAAAACTGCCGTAGATGATCTCTATCTTATGTGAACGGACATGCGAATGCTTTTAACTCCTTGGTCTTCTTTGTCCTTAGAATATAATTTTCATTCAGATTTGGAATCAATATATCGATCATTGTTGTCTATCAATATATTTTTCTGTCAGGATTGCTACTGTGGGAAATAAGAAATTAAGAATGCAATCACTTGATCAATGATATTCTTTTACAGAGCTTGTTATCTCTATTTTCATTGGACAAACTTGCCCTGGTAAATTAATGTAATTATATCTTATATTTTTAGAAAATTCTGATGCTCTGATCTACTTTTTGGATCCAATCCTAGGACCTTCGAAGTGATTCCTAGGAAAAATTCCGATTATTGCAGATTAACTTTCTGCATTGCTAGTCACCAACTATTATGAACTCATCGCTAAATTTTATGGTTCAACCGTTAATTGTAAAAAGAAAAGAATGATGGTTTTTTTTTTTTTTTTTAATTTTATTTTATGTGTATACTTCTTTGCAGTGACGATCTAACTCATTGTGCAGATATGTTGCACGTTTTCTCCAATCTGTCTCGAAATCTCAATTTCATTGAGCACACACAGATTTATGGGTGGAAACTGTAAGTACCGATATATCATGGACAAGTAGCAATAGTGTTTTGATTCAACCTAAAGATTATATCGGTTTTTATATGAATGCTGATATTTTCAGGAACCAGAGAGCAAAGCCTATCATAGTTGATCCTGGTCTTTACTTGTCTAAAAAATCTGATATTGCATGGACTACTCAACGTCGCTCACTACCGACATCTTTTAAGTTGTTTACTGGTGTGTTTCTTATCCCATTCCCGAGGTTTAGTCGTGGAGTAAATGCATATTTAGTGCATATCTGGATGTATATTATTGAAGAAAAAAATCTTCGTTAATATTGTCCATAATAGATAATCGGCATAATTGGCAGCTAGTAAAGGGGCATGAATTAGGTGATGCTGCATGCTGATTGCACGTGTTAGTCTTATTCTTTCTCTCTGCAGGCTCGGCATGGGTGATTCTAACTCGCTCTTTCGTGGAATACTGCATATGGGGGTGGGATAACTTCCCCCGGACAATCCTCATGTACTATACAAATTTCATCTCGTCCCCAGAAGGATATTTTCACACGGTAATTTGCAATACTGAAGAGTTCTGTAACACTGCTATAGGTCACGATCTCCACTACATTGCTTGGGACAGTCCTCCTAAACAGCACCCACGTTCTTTAACGATCAAGGATTTCAATAAAATGGTAAACAGCAGTGCCTCCTTTGCTCGGAAATTTCACAAGGATGATCCAGTTTTAGACAAGATCGACAAAGAGTTGCTTGGTCGAACAAATCGTTTTGCACCAGGAGCATGGTGTGTTGGAAGCTCGGAAAATGGGGCCGATCCTTGCTTCTTGCGAGGTAACAATTCAGTGTTTAAGCCTGGTCCTGGTGCTGAGAGGTTGCAACAGCTAATTGGGAATCTGCTCTCTGAAGATTTTCGTAGTAAGCAGTGCCATACACAATGAGGATGAAAAATGAACCTTACTATCAAAATGATTATAAACTTCCGGCTCAACACGGCTTGAAGGTAATGGCTTTTTGAGAAGCTGTTTGCAATTTTTTTTCCAGCAAGTAGTGCTCTCACAGGTTTAAGTTTGGATAGTTCAACTGTAAATACTTTATTAATAGAATTAAGCATTAATGCCCAAAATTTCAGATTGATCACTTTTTTTTAGCCATTGTGAATGAGGAAATACCTGCAAAAAACTTAAATCTAAGAGTGAATTATGGGATTAAACCTGAAAAAATAATTGTTTGAAGAATAACCTTTGAATAATAATCTTTCCAAAAATACCCCCTCATAGAGAATTTGCGACCAAAGCCATTACAATGTATAAAAATCTTCAATTAGGTCCCCAAAGAAATATAAATCATGAATCTTTAATAAATTTAACCCCATATATTATACAAAATTTTATTGATCTAAGGAATGCAATAGATAATGAATTAAATTATTTAAAAGAAGATTTGACGAATTTCTTTACAGAATATTTATATTCAAAATTAAAATATAAAAATGTTTATATAGATGATAGAGCAATCAAAATAGAAAATAATATACACAAACTAATTCTTAAACTAGAAAAAAGAATTAACAAATTAAATATAATTATTAAAGAAAAAGTTTTGACAAAAGATAGTGAATTTTATAGATTCTATTGTAATATTTTAAATAATTATGAATTTTAATTGGATTCAAAATCTTAACTCCTCCGCTGTACACTCCGACGAAATGATATTAGAGTCATGTTACAAACCTAAAATTATGATGAACATAGTGGATGAGAAAAATATAATTGAAAATTTTTTGAAAAAAATTGAAAAACATAAAAACCCAAGTTATCCCTACTTAACTAAAAACACAACAAATGAAAGTTTTGAGGATATATACAAAAGACTAGAAAATTTAGAACATAATCTGCAAATAGGAAATGCTCTTTTAGATAAAAACCTTAAAAAAAAAGATAGGATTATAATTAATCCACCTCAAAATTTTAGGATAACACAAAAAGAAAATAACAAATGAAAAAAATATGAAGAAAATCAATATATGATTACAGATGTAGAAGAACTAGAACAAAAATTTTTAGAATCTACTAGTGAAAAGTATGATGAATATAAAAAACAGTTAGAAGAATTGACTGAAAAAATGGAAAATACGAAGATGAATACTAATCCATCAATAAGTCGAAATATAAAAATAGAATTTAGTAGTGATGAAGAATATGATTATCCTTATCATACAACGATACGTATTAAAGAAGGTATTAATCAATATAGAAAAACAAAAAAAGGATACACTGGAAATATAAGAAAACAATCCATAAAAGAAATAAATCCAATGAAATCTTATAATGAACTAATCCACACAACAGGAATATAATTAGATCTAGACTGTGTAGATAAAAATAAAACTATTGAAACATAAATGAAAAGTACAGACTTAGCAATACAATTTAATAAATGGGAAACATATACAATTTTTGGATTTATAGAACATACATTCAAAGGAATTGTTTCTGAATGGTGGAGAAAGTTACCAAAATCTATAAAAGAAAGAATAAAGTATGGAGAACATAAAACTGAAGCATTAGATAATAGAAATACTTTAAATGATCAAAATGTACAAAAAATATTAAAAAAGTTTGAAAAAACCTTAAAAACAGAGTTCTTGGAAGAGAGATATGCTTCTAATGAAGAAGATAGAAAACAAGATGAATATAATGAAGGAATAATGCAATGGAAAATTTAAAGATATGTAATATGTGTGAATTAGAAAGATATACATGTAAATTTGAAGAATTATATTATATATTAAATCAAGGAGATTATTAAGAAAATAAGCCTATATTAAAGTCTTATTTTACGAAGTTACCATTCCCATGGGGAATTAAGTTATTAAAAGAATATGAAAAATTATTACCTCTAGGAGAAGAAGGAAGAGTAAAAATAGATAGTCTTGGAAGTAGGATTGAATTTACAAAAAGAATGATAGGCACATGATGCAGAGAAGCTCTAGAGAGTAGGAAAGTATATAAAATAAGAAAGAATTCCTTGTATTGTTACAAAGATATAGGCCAAATTGAACAATTTGGATGCCATAAGAAGAAATATAAAAGAAAATTCAAAAACTACAAAAAATTTAAGAAAAGAAATTTTAAACCACACAAAAAATATTTTAAGAAAAGAAATTGGAATAAAAAATCTAAACCAAAAAATATTAAAAAATGTAGATGTTTCATCTGTAATGAAGAAGGACACATTGCCCCCTCAATGTCCTAAAAAGAGGAATAGATAGAATATAAAAACTCTTAGAATTTATGAAAAATTCCAAGATGATAGTGATATAGAACCAATTGAATATTTTGGAGATTTAAACAGTGAATGCAGTAGTATTTATGAATTAGATACATCCTCATCAAAAGAAGACTCTGAGAAGATAGTATATATGAATCAAGAGATACAACAAGCAGATCTAGAAATAGAAGTTGAAACAACAGAGGAAGTTGAAGACTCGATAGAAGGTATAAATCAAGAAATTACATTTGATATTAAGAAATACAAAGAAATAACCAAGAAAATATTAGACCTACAAGAAAAAGATGTATTCCATCAAGAATTCTTAGGAATACTACCAAGAGTAAATAAAACAATTGTAAGTATAAATTATAAAGAAATGTCTATCAATATAGAAGATACTATAGGAAAAACAAGAATTCCTATAATTACAAAAGAATGGGTAAAACAAAAGTTATCTAAAATTCTGGAAAATATAAGAAACAAATTGAAATGCATTGAAATAGGAGGAATCCAAATGATGGTAAAAGAATTATTTAGAGAAGGTATGAACATACTCATAGAAATATATTGTATGGACAACAGAATCTTACAAGATCCTATAGATGCTCTATCAGGAACAATTGTAGGAAACTTAGTCTATCAAAATATAATATTTACTGCAAAACCAAATTATGCAATATCACTAATTGATAAAAATATTGACCAAAATTTCAATCTATATTATAGAATTGGAACCTTGAAAATATTACAAAAAAGTAAAGCTATTGGTATAAACATAAAATCAATTTTTGCTTTTAGTGCTAGCCATCATAACAATCTAAGAAAAATAACTGATAATATTATCATACATAAAGATTTTGAGGAATTAGCACAATATATACCTCCTAGGAAATACCAAGAACATGAAATCACTATACCAGAAAAAGATAATGCTTGATTTCCACAAATAAACTAGATAAATTAATTCTGAAGGAAAATTGATAAAAAGAAATAGTGTCAGCCTAGAAGGAGATAATCTTATTGCAATATTCCATTCTAGACAAGACTCTAAGATAAGCAAACTCAAGAAATTAAGTATTGCTGAACCATCAAATTCGCAATATTATATCAAAATAAGATATGTAAATCAAGAAGGATATAAGAAAAATCTTCTTGTCCTCATAGAAATTGGAGCAGATAAAAGTCATGTAAATACTAAATTTTTTAGTCATTTAATAGATTTTGAAATACTAGAACCATATATATTCAAAGATTATTTAGGAAATAATCTTGAAATAAGAAAATATGTAAAATTCCCTCTTATACTTATGGGAGATGATCAGAAAGAATATACTAAAGAAATAATTCTATATAAAGATGAATAATATGGAGTTGAACGTTCACCTATACTACTAGGAATGAACTTTCTTGAGGAATATAGTTCTTATAAAATCTGCCAATGATATTTAAAAATAGCAGTTGATGATAATCCAATCATCATATCAAGAATAGATGAAAATATGAAATCATTGTTATCATGGAAAGAGTAATTAATATTAATCCCATGAGTCCATATATTGAAATTATACTCAATATAAAAAGTTATTGCAGAATTAAATTACATGCTTACTTAGATACAGGAAGTACAATAAGCTTATGCTTACCAAATGTACTACCATCTGAATACTGGAAATATAATTCGAAGAAGATCGTCACCGCTACAACAGCAGGTGAAAATAAGGTAATATACAGCAAATATGCTACGCAAGTTCCTTTTCTAATTTCTTTTAGAGAAGTATTTGTTGATACAATATATATGTCAAACACAATTGGATGTGATATTTTATTAGGACAAAATTTTCTATTAAAATATGCCCCATTTACATAATATATTGATAAATATATGTTCACAACTCCTTGTGCACACAAAATATTTACACCAAAAATAAATAAGGCTGTTACCATAGCATATAAATACATAAACTATCAGAGTTTCTCAATTCAGTGTGGTGGATGTTGGAGTACAGAAAAATTTAAACTAGTTACAGTCCTAAAAATGACAACAGAAAATAGGTTAGAAAAATTGATAAAAGAAATTTCTAAAACATATTCTGAAAATCCATTAGAAAAATGGAATACAGACAAAGTAAATGCAAAAATAGAATTAATCAATACAGACACTATAGTAAGAGTCAAACCCATGAAATATAGTGTAGATGACCAAAAGGAATTTAAAGACCAGATAAAAAAACTGCTAGAAGTCAAATTGATTAGGTATAGTAAAAATCCACATACAGCCCAGCCTTTATGGTTAGAAAACATAGCGAGATAAAAAGAGGAAAAGTCAGGATGGTGATAAATTATAAAAACTTAAATGAAATTACCAAATTTGATGGATATTACTTGCCAAATAAAGACACCCTTATTAAGCAAGTACAGAATAAAAAAATATTCTCAAAATTTGATTGTAAGTCAGGTTTTGGCAAATTATGCTTATAGAAGAAAGTAAACCATTAACTGCATTTAGTATCCCCAATCTTTTAGGACAATACGAATGGAATGTAATGTCATTTGAGTTGAAAAATGCACCACAGATATTCCAAAGAAGAATGGATGAGGTAATTAAACCAATTACTTATTTTTATATTGCATATGTAGATGATTTACTTATTCATTCAAATAACATTGAATATGAAAAAATATGGTATTACACTTTCTCAAAAGAAAGCTAAGATAGCTAAAATAGAAAATAGAATTTTTAGGATTATTTATAAAAGAAGGAGAATTGCAATTGCAAACTCATATTGGAGAGAAACTTCAAGAATTTCCTGAAGAAATCAAAGATAACAAACAATTACAAAGTTTCCTTGGTATATTGAATTATG